TTTCACTATCTGGTTAACTCGAACTTCAAAAATTTTCACCTTTGCATAGGTATGATAAAATTCAATGCAATTATCTAAAGTCTTCCACTTCATCATATTCATATTATTCTCATTGTAATCTTTTAATTCCTTCCTAATCTTATCCAATGTGTCAATGAAGTTGTCGATTGCCTTTTTATCATCTATATGTTTGCCATTATCGATAGGATAATCTATTTGTTCTTATTCAGTACAACTTTCACAATCTAATTTACGGTTGTATCCATCTTTATCCTGATTATAGGCATCTTCATCCTGGTTATAATCATTCAACTCTGTAATTTGAATTTTGGTATCTTTATTATCAACCATCTCGAAAAATATGTATTTTCACAAACATAAACAAAAACAACATTATTAAACTGGTTAATGACATTATTAAAGTTTTCAATAAAGTTGTAAATTGTCTTTTCATCATCCCTATGTTTGTCATCATCGATAGGATAATTAGTTTGTTCTTATTTAGTATAAGTTTCACAATTTGATTAACTATTGTATCCATCTTTATCCTGATTATGGTCATTTTCATCCTGATTATAATCATCCAACTCTGTATTTTGAATTTTAGTATCTTTATTATCAACCATCTCGAAAAAATATGTATTTTCACAAACATAAACAAAAGCAACATTATTAAAATGGTTAATGGCATTATAATTGCATTAACAAAAAATTAAAAAATTATGCATATCGTACCGATACACTACTAGTGTATAGGTACACGTATTTGAAATAAAAAATTATGTACTATTATGGTACTGGTACACTATCATTACCGATACTCGGATGCCCGTGTATCGGTAGACATGAGTCAAGGTACCGGTACGACATGCTTTATTCAAATTGGGAATTCGAAATTGGATTTCAAAAATACGATTTGAATATAGGAATTAAAGTTCAATTGTTCTAATTGGGATTCTAATTTGGGAATTATGGTACTCAATTTGGGAATGAGTTCTATAATAGAACTAATTGCAAAATTAGGGTTATGGTTATGGTTAAGGTTTAGGAATTAGGGGATAAGGGAAAAATTATGAGAGGGGGCAATCCCACACTGACATCGACAACCACTGTTGATAAAAGCGCCGACAACCGGTGAGGCCTCACTTGTTGGTGAAAGCTTGGATAGACGATCAAGTTCAAAACAAAATACAATTAATCAAGCTTACCTTAACGGGTTGGTTGCACGAATGGCTATGAATGGCGTCCACGTTGGGAGGGATGAATGACAAAGATTCAATCGACAGTGATAGATGTTATCGACGACGGAGCCGAAAACGGTGACAAGAACTTCAAAGCTTTAAAATAATTTAGGGTTTTTAATTTAGGGGTTAATATTTGATCTAATTATAATAAAAAATAATATTATAAAATTTAATGTAATTAATGTTGTATTTTAAATAAATTACATTTAGATTTTCAACTAATTTATAATTATACATTAAGTACTTTATAATTTTAACGTTTTATAAATTAATTTAATGATGCTCATAGTTAGTGATGATCATCGATGCTCGTCGAACATTGTAGATTTTTCCTATAGATAAAATATTTAACATAACATATTCAAAGTAATGAATAATATATTGAACTCTTCACATTAAGATTATCTTATATAAAATATTAGGAAAATTTTACATCGCTCGACGAGTATTGATGAGCACCACTAACGATGAGCACCATTAATATAATTTATAAACTTTAAAATTATAAAATACTCAATGTGTAATTATAAATTAATTAAAAATCTAAACGTAAATTATTTAAAATAAAATATTAATTCATTATTTTTTATAATCTTATTTTTAATAATAATTAGATCAAATATTAGCCCTTATATTAAAAAATCCTATTTTTTCTTGATTTGATAGGACGATAGCAACGACAACTGCGATGGTGGCAACAATGGTGATGTCAACAGTAATGACAACAACAACGACGATAGCGACAACATCAATAACAACAATAGCAACGACAATGATGGCAGCAAAATCATCGATAATAGTAGCAGCAGGGCCGATGGCGATGAAAATTGCGGTGGCGATAATAACAGTAACATTGGCGGTAGCGACAATAGTGACGACAACTTCAAAGCAAAAAAAGAATTTATGATATTTTAATTTAGGAGTTAATATTTGATATAATTATTGTTAAAAAATAAGTTTATAAAAATAATGTAATTAATATTTTATTTTAAATAATTTACGTTTACGTGTAGAATTTTAACTAATTTATAATTATATATTGAGTACTTTATACTTTTAAAATTTTATAAATTAAACTAATGCTCATCGATACTTGTCGAGTGTGACAAAATCATCCAAAATATTACACATAATACATTAAGAGTGTCATGAACAACGCACATAAAATTCAACAATAAAAGAAATCACAAAATCAATGTTTGGAATGAGCTAAACTTGATAATTTAACATGATTCACGAGTTTGTTTCACATTTTGGATGTCATTAAGAGAATGAGTTTGGGACTCATTGTATCCTCTTTGTAAGTTGATTACTAACATTCATTACAATCATCGCAACTTTTCATCATGAACCACTTGTCATTTTTATTACAATAGTCTATTATCATACTTGCTATCTGGAATATACTTCAAATTTACTCTTTATCATCTTTTCACTAATTAATAACGTCTGTTTAACTTAACCAATTTTTTTACATGTCTTAACATGGATCCACGTTCAAGATCGTTAAGTTGGAGATTATTTTACTCATTTTAAAAGTATACTCGACTCGAGCTCAAGCTCAACTCGAATTCTTAATGAGCTGAAACGAGCTACTTGATACTCGACTCGAAAACTTGTAAGCAACTTGAAAATATAATATATTAAGATTTAAAAAAAAATTATCAATAATATTAACATTTATATGTTTATATTTTAAAAAAATGAAATACAAGGTTTTCATGTATTTAAGGTTCATGTTTGAGTTTGAGCTTCAATTGAGTTAAGTTTAAGATTTTTTTTTTTATTTTGAGTTTTTCAAGCTTTTACGAGTTTTAATTCATGATTTTGAGTTCGAAATGAGCTTGAAGATTTTAGACTCGAGAGTTTTGGAAACAAGTCGAGCTCCATTTTTGAGTTTTCTAATTGAGCTCAGCGGTGCTCAAGCTCGACTCGCCTCATTTACAGTTGTATAATAATTTTACCAAATTTTAATATTTTTTTGGAGGGATATTTTTAAAAAAAATGTTTTTTCATCAATATTTTTTTTAAATGGGAAGTTAGGCCTCCTAGGTGCAATAAATTACGGGACATATGCATTACGCCCCCACATGCCAACCGTACACGTGCCCCTAAGGTTGCATCCTCACCGGCTCCCTCCTCAACGGTGGTTAAACTCCGTGTAGTGATGGTAAATCAATCTTCATTAATTTTGTGCAGGCTGGCGCTATAATTCTTAATTTTGAAAGATTTAGAAATCCAATGCTTCATAAAGGTAAATAAACGAACAAATCCATATGCATATGCAAATCCTTACGTTATTACATCTGGAAAATACATTTCTCATAATGTAAGCATTCAAATGCTACTCTTTATCAAATTTCTGTTGTTTAAAGACTAGCTGCTTCAATTGAAGATTTGATAGTCTTTTGTCACTATCTCCATGGTTCAAACGACACATGATTCGAATGCTTTACTTTGTTTGGTAGTGGCAGTTGATGAGTATGTGGTATGCTCCTTTTTTGGGTTGGTCATGACCCCTGTTTTGCCTTCAAATTATTTGTTTTCAACAAATCACATCATCGTCTTTACTTTTGAACTATTCTGAAGTTGATGATGATCGCCACAATTTTCAATTTTGTTGTTGGTGATGGATACATTAACAAACTGATCTTGATTTGCCTTTGCCTTGGATAAAAAGCATGAATGGTTGGTAATGCTGCCGTCTGACATGTATACGATCCCCACATTTTTAAGTTTTGTTGTAGTCATGTTTATATCAAGGAGCTGATATTGATTTGCCTTGGAGAAAAAGTATGGGGTTTTTTTAAGCATGAGTGGCTCAATTGCTGTTTTTTAGTTAGAGTAGAGCCATGACTTTTTATTCATAATTAGACTTAATTTTGGTACAATTGTCAGTATAATTGTATTATCATAACTAGGGTTAATTAGTATAACATTCTAACATAATTCTAATCACCATCATCTATATATTTACTTAAAATATCTTTTATGTATAGAGAAATTCAAATTAAAATAGATCTTGATTAATAAATAAAACATGGTATTTGATGTATGATATCTCGAATTTGGACATACAAACCCTTATACCCCAATTTTGTCATCATAATAGAAAATCCAATGCCAAATAACTAAGTACTTATTCAAGTAAATGTAGCTTAAAGAAACAATGCTGTTGGGCACCGATTGGGGGGGGGGGGGGAAGTGAGGTGTGTGACTGCATGACATGCAATACATACATGCATGCATTACGAGGGAAATGGTCAAAAACAAAGGTTTAAGACGGTAACATCCATTTGTTTTAACAACTTATTAGCACAAAATAAAACATTTATACAAATTTTTGCAAAAGTAATTTTTAACCATTAAAAATCCGAAAACGTTGGGGGCTCTCTTCGGAAATAATACACCATGACTCTCCCACCTCTCATTCTGGGCAGCATCTTGTCCCCTTTCTTCAACTTCATCTTCAAAGGCTTCCATTTTCTTCATTTTCCCGTCTTTAACGTATCAACTTCCGGTCAGGTTTTCGTTCCCGGCTCAATTTTCAGGCATTGTCATGTTAATCTCAGCCTCTTTGGTTCATATTCATCTCACTTATGCATGCATTAATGATGGAACATTTATGTCGGTTAATTTGTCTCTTTAATTTTATATGTGGTGATGAACTTTACGAAAGTTTAACTTAGAGGTTGTATGCATGCATGCCTGCATCCATGTTTGTATGTACATGATGATGAAATGATAAACTGCGCAGGTGAATTAAATTGTTTCTGAAGAAAAATTAGCTAGGAAAGGCAAAGACAGAGAAAATGGTGAACATATACCGACGCGCCACCAGCGAACGCCTCCCACAAGCCGCCAGCGGTTCACCAAAGACAGAGGTAGGAGAGATCGATACCAGGGCACCGTTTAAGTCCGTCAAAGCCGCCGTTAGTTTATTCGGTGAAGTTGCCATTCCCAAGGAACGAGACCGACGTACTCCCAGAAAATCTAGAATTTCTGCCGAGGTAATAATAAAACGCAACCTCAAAACGTCCACTCTTGTGTATACATGGTAAATCTTTTTACAGGTCCTTTAACTATAACGCCAGATGCATTTTTTATCCCTTTATTTTTAGCATAATGATATTGATTTTATAAAAGTTGAAAATGAACTTTTAATTTTATGAGATAGATTTAATTAATGATAAGATATTAAAAAAAATCAGAAATATGATGTTAAATTCAGTTTTTCAATTACTACAAAGATGACTAGTTAGCATGCTTTTTCTATTATACATAATTAAAATGTACTCTATGCTATAGTATAGAGAGCCATAGAGAAATTGTGCCATTATAATTATTACCAAACCACTCCATCAAGATTTAATTGCTTAACAGTATGCTCCTAATTGATCTTTGCCAGAATGTTATAGACAAGGAGACACAGCTTCTTCTAGCCGAGAAAGAATTCAACAATATCAAGCAAAAGCTAGAGAGTGACGAAGCAACAAAGGCTAAAGCAGATAGTGAACTCGAAAGCGCTAAGCAAACATTACAGGAATTGTCCGAGAAACTTAGAGCAGTAACCGAATCAAAGCAATCCGCAATCGAAGCGGCTGAAGCAGTGAAGCAATATGGAAATGAACTCGAACTCAAAAAATCTCAATTCAGCCAAGAATACCAAGAGAGAAACAAAGAACTCGATACGGCCAGGGAGCAATATCTCGCTGTCGCGACAGAGCTCGATGCGAAGAAGCAAGAGCTAAATAAAATCAGGCAGGATTTCGACGCCGCGTTGGAAGTGAAGCTGGCGGCGTTCCAACAGGCGGCCGAAGCGCAACTTTCAGCTAAAATGCATTCGGAACGGGTCGCTGAGCTCACGAAACAAATCGCGGCCATGAAGGAAGCTATCAAGCAAGTGAAATTCGCTACGCAACAAGTGTACAATGAACAAGAGGCTATTGCAGCAGATAAAGAGATGTTGAAGAAATCTTACCTGGATGCTAAGGAGGAAGCCGAGAAGAAATTGAGTGCTTCAAGGGAATTGTATGATCCCGAGTTAACCAAGGCCCTGGAGAAGAAACTAATGGAAACTACGGACGAGGTCGAAGCTTTGCAGGAAGAGATGAAGAAGGTTCATGCTTTAGAAATGGATTCCGTTAGACTTTTAACTACGGAGCTTAACGAAGCTACTACGACGCTGCAAATGGTGGTCGATGAAGAGTGTTCTATTCGGAATCAAGTGAGCTCCATTAGGGTTGAACTTGAAGAGGTGAAGATGAAGCAAGCACAACAAAATGAAATTATGGAAACGAAAGAAGCTGAAAGGGAATCTCTTAATGGTGATCACAATGCTAGACTGCAACAGCTTTTATTAGAAGCCGAGACTGCAAGAAAAGAAGCCGAAGAGATGAAGAATAATATCGAAACGCTGAGGAAAGATGCCAACGCGGCGGAAACGGTCGTGAAGGAGGTTAAGCTAAAGCTAGAACATGCACTGGAACAAGCCGGGCATGCAAAAGCGGCGGAGAAGAAGGCGCTGGATGAAATGCGAGTAATAGAAAAGGGGATCGGTGATGGGAAGATAAGGCTTTCCAAGGAGGAATATGAAGCATTGCAAAAGAAAATAGACGAATATGGGAACATGTCGGAGCAGAAAATAGCAGCTGCAATGGCGGAGCTGGAAGCGATTATCACGAGCAAAAACGAGGCGGATGAGAAGGTAGAAGAAAACTTAAATGCGATAGCGGAAATCAAGGCGGCAACGGAGCTGGCGGAGAAGTCGGCGGCGTCGGCAGAGACAGCACATAGTGTACTCGAAGGTGAACTCAGAAGACGGCGTCAACTAGAAGAGATAGTTGCGGTATCTTAACAGCTTCCTGGACTCGGACTCAGTATCGACTCGCTGCCATGGATTATTTCTCCACCTTAACAAACTCATTATACACATTATATATGTATGCATCAAAGCAGAAACATTATTCATATACATGTATTATATATGAAATTCCTATCCTTCTTTGAATGCGAATGGAACAGAACAAAAAAGAGATATCCTTAAACTTTTTCCATTTTACTTCTCTTCGTAAAGGAGTTTCATAGTTGTATTTGAAGATCTTGATTATATCAAACTATTTTGCATGGTGAGAAAAATTAGGATCATATACCATGCGGGACATAAAATTTTAAGTCGAGAAAAAATAATCTCACAAAATAATAGATAAAGTTAATTTTTATTATTTAATATTTAAATATAAAAGAATTCATAACCTTTAAAATTTGAATAAAAAATAAGTAACTGAATTTTGTCTTTATTTATTTTACATCCTTTGAATGATAGATTATATTTGTGAAATTTATTAATGATTATTTCACATCTATTTAATGGGTATTATATATATACACATGGGTTAGGATCCATTTACCTAATGTAAAACTATGAGTTTTACATTTTTCTAGGACTATTAGATGAAGAAAATCAAAAATTGAGTTTAATAGTAGGAAATGAGAAGATATTGATTAAGAAAAGGAGATCTCAACTTTTAATTTCTCATCATCCAACGATCTTAAAAATATATAAAACTCTTAATCTTACACACATAGTGAAAAACTTATAGTTTTACATCATTTTAGAATCGTTGGATTGAGAAAAATCAAAGACTGAGATTAATTTCATGTTTTTCTCCCGATGAATATCTTTTCATTTTTCACTGGTAATCTCAGTTTTTAATTTCTCTTAGTCCAACGATTTTAAATATAATAATTTTACGTTATATACTTGTATCTTAATCATCTCTATTTATATAGCTGTTGGAGACATCTAATGGTGTTGGTTCCGTCTAGACAATAATAAATCGGTATTTTTATGGCATTATAATAGATTGGTCTTAAATGTTATGGAAGAGATACAACTGGGAGAACCTTGTTCCACCACCTCAAATCAAGTGTCCACCCACTAAAGAAATTCTAGAAGGTGTATTTATATTTAAGAGCAAAACTTAATCGTCCACTGTAACAATATTTCAATCATTGGATGTATGGGGTCTTACGGGTCACCTCGTCATTTAGTAGCAGTATACGAAGCTTAATTTTATAAGATTGATTACCACCATATTTCATTAACATTAAGGATTATTTAATATGATTATGTTTGTTTGGTTTTCTATAACACCCCAATTTAGGGGCTAAAATTTAGAAATTATAAAATATTGGATTTAATTGGTATTTTGGAAGAAATTGAAGATTAAATTATAAAATTTCAAAGTTGGAAGATCATTTTATAAAGTGTAGGAAATTCAGTGGCTAAACTCATAGTTTAACTATTTTTCTATAGGAGAAAATTTATAAACCCCTTTTCGTACTCAGTTCCCAGAAATGTTTCCCAATTTCCTCCTCCGGTCAACCTACTTTGAGCTTCGATCTACTCATCGTCCGATCACCGTTTGACGAACTGAAACTACCATCGTGTTCGTTGTCGGCCGATGAACAAAACCCCTCAAACCTATCGTCGTGAATCGATATCGTTTTTCGTAAATCTTAATCGGAAGTATCGTAGGTTTTAACTCAATTTCCGTTGGTTTTTCGTCGATCCGGTCACTTGTTTTTGACACCTTCCACACCATCGTGTTCCTTGTATCGTTCCGAGTCCACCGGTGTCCTCCGTATATCCGTCGTCGCCGACGCGTGGAGGGGTGAGGAAGTTAAAGTTTTTGATGGTTCAGAATCGAGCTCTCCGCCATTCAAAATTGTGAACCGAGCTTGGTAAGTGTTTCAAAATACCTTAAAATAAATTTTGGAAATTTTTACGGAATATTTGGAACTCTCTACGGTGGTTCACGCACCCCCATGCGCCCCCTGCGCGTGGGGAAGGTCTGACGTGTGGGGGATATATTTAAACCAGTTTGAACCGGTTTGACCGGTCCGATTCGACTTGACTGCCAGCTGACCCGTTGACCGGCCGTTAACTTTTTCTAGAGTCCGTTTTTGGGTCCGTTTTGCCAAATTCGAACCGATAAGCTGTTTTCATTGATTTATCACCCGATTTGATCCGTTTTTCAGAATGAAGCCCCGTTTTAAATGAAATTTCTGTTGATATATATTAGAGGAATTATTGGAAGTTGAATTAAGGATCGAGTGTGTTCGAATGGAATTTAATGGCCGATTAGTATGACACGAAAATCGAGATAATACATTACTACATCTTTATGCTTTATGGAACATGTTGATATTGGTAAATGCATGAATAAGATAATGTTTGGTCTCATTTGTGTAGTTAATTAAGTTCTACATTCGATATGAATGCGGTAAAAATTTGATAACTGAATACGGTTCGGATGACTATTATAAGAAATTGAGGGATTGTTAGAATTTAAATTACAAGGTCTGTGATTGATGATAAAGGAATCAACCCTGGATTTGTAACTTATATTTTATATCATCAAAGGTTAAATGTTAAAGGTACTTGGATAAGAAATTATGAGAATACTCCGGTTTGGTAAAGTTATGAAAATACCCTTATGTTGTAAAATGACAAGAATTACCCTGGAAGTTGGTTAATAACTCTGAAAAGACATATTGAGCTGATGAAACTACTGATGAGTATGTAAAATGCTAGTTTTACTTAGAAAATTTGGATAACCTGTTTTTAACCCTAAGAGGGTTTTGCAAGATACTAGAAGTCTGTTAAGGAATCATTTCAAGACAAGAGAATGTTCGGGAAAGCAATTAACCATAGGATCTCTAAATTATAAATATCCTTGTTAAGAGTTTAACACTAAAATTATCTGGTTACGAAATTACGAAAATGCCTTTGAGAGGTAAAAATAATCTGAGTTGACTCTGAATTAGAAATTAACCTGAGACTTTGTACTTAAACTGATAAATTACTGATTTAATTGTTGAGATCCTACTTTTGTATGAAAAATTCCTAATAATTCGTCAGTAATATCTGAAAGAACTTTTAACCTGGAAATCTGTGAGTTATAAGTAAATACCTGAAAAATAAATTTATCGAGGGTACTCTTCTGTCAAAATTGTTCGAAGGGAATGTAATACATGATAAGTCTGAATTAAATAATAAGATCAGACAGAAGGTACTGATTAAAATACGCTGGATCTGTAAAATGACCAAATTACCTCTGTAATGGAAATGACTCAAGAATATCACCAAGCCCAATAGTAAATGGATATCCTCAAGCTTTGAAATGAATGGAAAAACATTATGCACCAAAATGCCCTTATGGACTAGACTAAGTAAATGTCTTGGATTAATTAAGGAATCCAAATAAACATGGGTGTTGTACTACCCTTAAAAGTTATGGAACACAACTTAAGTGAGTAGATCAACCCCGCTATGTCTATACCTGAGTGACATATGTATCATTTGAATGCATGTTCGTCTTCTCAAGTTTGGATATATGATAATTCTAGAAGTACTTGGCTCAGATCAACTCTAGAGCGTATTCGGTACTAAGAAGTGGATATTCGTGAGATAAATCAACCACGAATACCAGAATGACTCTAGTATATGACTAAATTGAACTGAAAGGAAATAAAATATGTATCTGAAATTCAGAAGCGTTTGAATTAATCTAGAAAACTCTGAAGTAACCGGTGCTTAATGAACTAAGTAACCTCAATGGTTGAGGATTAAATAGGTGATTGGATGAGTCTGGAAACACTGTAGAACTTACATGATGAATTGTCCTTATGGGTCATGAACCATGAATCAAGTACGTTCGTATTTCCTGATATCGTTGAAACGTGGAATTAAAATAAAGACCGTTGGAAGATCTATTCAGCGGTGATTACGAAGATGATTTATGGACAAGAATTGTTAGTATTTAAGAGTGAATACCCTGGAAAGGCAATAAATTGACGGGTCGACAGGCATTAGTTCTGAGAGATAGTTCAGTTCGAATAGTTCAATAAACCAATCGATCAACATGGATTGTAAATGTTTGATTAGATCGGTTATTAATCAATTCTCTTCAATAGGACCTCGTTCTTGGAATCCAATCAAATTGCATAAGTCCAAGTTATTCATACTGATAACTACAAAATGCCTCTGAAAAATACTTCGATCCTCTAGTGTGTTCTATATGTACTACATGACGGTTTTATATGTTTTAAAATGAGTTTTAACGCAATTATTGATTTATTGGATTATGAACCATGTCAACATGGTATATCATTTACGATTATGGTTTTTATCGAGAAATATGAATTGTTTCTGATGTATGGAATCAAGGAAATTACTGATTTATGAACTACGATTTTATGTTTCACTGGTTTTACTCGAACTATTTTATTGGGATATTATATGGGTAGAATGGAGGTACATCTCTGATCAAGCTGGAAATTTCTTACGGACCTAAGGGGATCCTTGGGTAGGCTTTTAGGCCCAAGGTACCCCCTTGGGTTAATCATTTGACTACTTATGGTGTACAGGTGGAAATTTGATATACGATTTATTTCATGATCACAGATATGACATATTATTGGATCACGATCCAGGTATTATGATTTACGGATAAACTGATTTCTACTGGATTTTTATATGGATAGGATTTTGAAGTCTGGGTCACACAGCTTTGATCCAGCTAGTAACCATATGGATCTAAGGATACCCTTGGGTAGGCCCATAGGCCCCAAGGCATATCCTTAGGTTGGTTCCCTTTTGTTGTGTGCTTAAGGTAAACTTACGGATCTAAGGATACCCTTGGGTAGGCCCATAGGCCCCAAAGCATATTCTTAGGTTGATTCCCTTCGCTGTGTGCTGAAGGTAACCCTACGGATCTAATGATATCCTTGGGTAGGCCCATAGTCCCCAAGGTATATCCTTAGGTTGCCTCCCTTTTTGTTGTGTGCTGAGGGTA